CAAGCCCCCCCCTCCCCCCGATCCCTGTCCCCTCACCTCATAGTTTTAAAAAACAAAACAAAAAAACCCTGGCACTTACCTGCTGTCTGCCTGCCTCTGGCTGACTGGGGCCCCACCTGCACAGTGCGGGGCAGGGTGACTCCCCAAGCGGCCCCAGCTGGGCCCTGCTGCCCCCGCATTGTCCTGTGCTGCCCTGAGGGGCTCTGCCACCCCTGCTTCTAAGGTAAGCAGAGGCTTTTTTTCCATTTTTTGAGGGTTTTTTCTGGGTTTTTTTTTAAGTGATAGTGCCTGGAGTTGTGTGGGTAGCCCTGGGGGTCTGGGGGTTCAAGTTGGGGGATGAGTCTGGGTGGGGCAGCCATTGTGGATCTGGGGGAGCGGAGGCTCCGGCTGGGCGAGGCAGCCGTTGGAGGGGCTGCAGCAGCTGGTGGGGAATGGGGCTAGGTGGGACAGCAATTGGGCAGCTGGGGTGGGGCATGTGGGCCTCACAGGGGAATGGCAGCTCCTGTGGGGGCCATTTGGTCCCCATTGGGGGGCTGTACCCCTTGTGTGGAGGCCAAATCCCCTGTTGGGGGGCCAAACCCCTTCTGTGGGGGCCAAATCTCCTGTTGAGGGACCGATCCCCATGTTGGGGAGGCTGAACCCCTTGTGTGGGAGCCATCACTCTTGTGGGAGGGCAGTAAAATATGTATTCATGAATTCATGAAACATGTATTTAGAGTTCACTTTATTATTATGATAAGAGACTTGCTTTAACACTGTAGATATATCAATAAAACATTGTCCAACTGATCACTGTCTCTGCTTCACTCTCTCTTTATAGTGCTCTTTTGTTTTACTGGTGGAGGAACATGGATTTGGGGGTATTTTAGAGAGTGATTTGGGAATTTTTTATATCAGGGATTTTTCAGTTTTCCAATAGGGAACACCAGAATTCCTGCTAGGGAGGCCACTGGCAGGACCCTGCCTGCTCAGAGCAATCACCTTGGACCCATCTGGCTGTGGCTGACCTCCTG